TGTACTCGTAAGTACAGCTCACACAATACGAAGAGCTTTTTCTATGTAAAATCTCTGTGATCTGAGTTCTTTTTTTTTTTTTTTTTGACAAAAATGTTATTTGGAAAGTATCATGAAGCTATTTTTGACTTTGATTGAGACCCGGATGAAAATCAAAGGAAATAATAATAATAATAATGACCCTTCGCCGATGTGTCTGTTCTTGGTGACCATAATATCATGGCTAAATATATTTGAATGCCTAAAAAGTACATTAACTTCCGGATTTATGTTCAGTTATCTTTGGGACGTTGATGTCTATACGACCTCCATTAAGAAAATCGGATCGCTTCAGAAGCCTGCTATCTCCTTGAGGTCGTTCAATTACTACTAATAATAATGGATAAAGAAAGTAGCAATTTTCAAATAATTGATTTTGCTGTTCCATGCTATACAAGAGTGGACACCAAAGGAACTGAAAAGATTGAAAAATACCAGGATCTGGCTCGAGAGATGAAGAAACTATAGGACATGCCATAAAGAAATACAAAAAAAAAAATGTATTCCCAACTACAGCTCACACATTACGGAGATCTTTAACTCTGTAAAATGTGTGTGATCTTATTTTTTTTTTGTTTTGTTTTTTTAAATGTGCAATGGAAAATGTTATAAAACTATTACTGACCTTAGGTCTCTGGTTGGGACCCGGAAAGAAATATGTATACAACAGAAATCCAAGGAAATGATGATGATAATAATAATAATAATAATAATAATAATAATAATAATAATATGTATGTGTGTGTGTTTTATTGAATGTGGGGCATAAAAAACATTTTATAAGTTTTTTTATTCAGATTTTCCAGTGTTTTTACAGTTTTCCTTTTATGAAAACTAAAAGTTTGCCGAAATTGGCCACAGTGAATATTGTCCTAATCACTTCCGATTCATTCATTAGCCATTTTCATGGAGTTCTTTGTAAGGATTTTTTCTGTGTTTGCATTCTAATCTGTGCTATATAGGAGCAGTAGTAATTGTAGTTTTTTGGGGTGCTTTAAAAACACCCCTTTATTTCCAAACAACACAGCTTACAATTACTAGTACTTTTATACAACGAACAGAGACGAAAACATACGAGCAACGAACCACTTGGAAATGACTAAAGAATTTGACCCAGAGCGCGTGGGACAATAACCATTCTAGACATTTTTTTTTTTAAATCATGTAACGCCATTGGTAGGAATGGAGATACGAGGAGTAAAAGCGAAAGTGGAAGAGAAGACTGAGAATAGGGAGGATTGAGGAAAGGACAAAAGATGAATGGGGTTCAAAAAGACAGAAAATATCGATTGACGTTGCATTTAAATTTTTTAAGATTGTAGTTTCAGGGAAGCAAGGAAACGGTAAGAATTCTATAGGCGGGAAATGCGAGAAAGAAAAAAAACTGTTGAAGTGGAAATGGCGGTTGTATTTAGCTATTTCAACAGTAAATGGGTGGGACCTAGTTGCCAATCGAGTAGCACGCCTAAGTTAATGTATTCAGGGTAAACGCTCGTCAGGTGCCATGGGAATATTTGTAGAAAAGACAGAGGGAAGCATGTTGGGGAGAAAATGATTGATGTCAAGATGTCTGGTTAGGATCGATTACATTACAGATCCTTTTTGGGATTTTGACAAGAATTTTGAGATATACAACAGGAAAATCAACCATTCAATGTATGGACGAATAGTTGATTTGTAAATATGGCATGACACATTGAACATTGATCTCGCATTAGATGAAGTTATTAATTTGATATTTTCATGTCAATAAAAAGTGAGGCCAAACATAAAACTAAATTTTTAATTTGTCCCCATCTCTATCTATAAAAGGCAGGATGTGTGTGTGTGTGTGTGTGTGTGTGTGTGTGTGTGTGTGTGTGTGTGTGTGTGTGTGTGTAACGAATGCACTGCCGCAACTTTCGACGGATTTGCACCAAAATTTACATGCACATTTTATTTGTTAGCGGGAAGGCCAAGAGCGACTTTGCATTTCCCAACTCCCATCGATAGTGGAAATAATCGATTTTTTCATGCTTCTGCGGCAATTTTCATGTAGTTTGCGGCCATTTTCTACTGGCCAGAGTGAGAGCCTATAGCTGGCTGCCACGAATAGGCAGGAAGATTCTATTGGCCAGCGTGAGAGCCAGCAGCTGATTGACACGAATGTTAACTAGCATGCTAGCATGCAAAAAAATCGATAGTTGCATTCGTCACAGGTGGGAAAAATTTAAATCTGCATGGCACTTTACTCCAATTGGCTCATTCGCTTGCTTAAACTCAATGTTGATTCTAATTCCGCTGAACTGGGTTGGGTGTGAAAAAGTATTTGTTGTTAACATTCTTTTTTAATTGGGTTTATCCAGTTACGAATCCTTTTTGATCGTTTGTGTTCATTTTGTTTAGTTCTTTTTTCATAACAGATTTAATGTTTAGTATAGAGCTTAGAAAAACTTCGCAGTGTGAGATAGGCAAGAAGTAAGGCATGTAGCAAGATCAGCACGGCAAAGGGCGCGTATTTATAGTCAAGGAAGGGCAAAAATATTTTAAGTCAAGTTATAGCGATTGCTGTATGAGTCGTACGATTTTTGAATCAAGCACGGGCAACGCCGTGCTATGCTGCTAGTCATTATATAATAGCGTTTCTAAATTCTCCTAGTTGCTAACGGCGTTTTATTTTTTGTTTATAGATACTTTGTTTCAATAAATTCATTTTGTTTTTTGCCTTGAAAAAGTCCACATTGGATGAAACGCGCCGACTAAAACTACACAGCTTTCATATTGCCTTTTTCCTTTATATATATATATATATATATATATATAAGATGGATTGTTAAAGGATTGTTAATTTATCAGTCCAACAGATCATATCACTTAAACATTTTTTTTAGGGTCTACATAAATTTGAGTAGATCCACCATTTATTTATTAAATACTATATTTATTTATTTTCGTCTACCGGTCTGAATGTCCGAGAAATCTTATTTAAGAAATGATAACGTTTAATTAATATATATATATATTACTCTGTGTGTATGCACATATATGTGTGTGTGTGTGTGTGTATCCGTGTGTGTGTGTGTGTCTGTGTGCGTACTGGGAAAGCAGACCTGGCGGAACACCTCCCTCTCCAGCTCAAACCACAACCCCCTGACCTGCATCTTAAAAGTTTACCTTTGTCGAGTGATTCCGTCGGGGGGAATTTTTCGTTGACTTCAGGAAAAGAAACCCGGGGGTTCTTTTCTTATCAGAACGATCAGAGTGAGTTTTCTGTGTTGCGAAATGAAAAATATAAGATGGTGACAAATTAGCCATCGCACCCTATATATATATTGAAGAATCCATTCTAAACATTATTTTTGGGACATCAATGTTTGAGTAGACGGCCAGTTTAAAAAAAAATTACATCTAACGGCCAGCGCAATAGACCGATTTAAAAATAACTTTACACACACACACACACATATATATATATATATATATCTATAATACCTTTAATCATTTCTAAGATACACCGGTACAAAACTTAATCTAACTATTTTACTGTTACAGGATTTGAACAATTTTACTGTTACAGTAAAATTGTTCAAATCCTGTAACAGTAAAATAGTTAGATTAAGTTTTGTACCGGTGTATCTTAGAAATGATTAAAGGTATTTTACTGGGGTTCTCTGAGGTTTCTATAACACTATTTGGACCCTACTTTGAACAATAAGAATGTATTTAGCTCTAAGTTGATCCGTTTTCCTGTTGTGACCTCCTGATCCAGTTCCCCCCCTACTGTCTCCTTTTTTTTTTTAAATTTATTCACCGTTCTCTTAATGGTTCTTGAATGGACTTTGAAGATGGAAGCCAGAGTAGGAATTTTGGCTCCCTTACTGAAGGCTTGAATGATTTTTTTTCTTCACACCATTGCTCAGTTGGGAAGACATATTGGGGCTGACACAAAAATATTTTTAACTGTTCTTTTTCTAGCTCAAAGGGTTTTTCATTGATTCATACAACAATCGGGGTGAAGATGGCTAAACGTCTCATCTGAAAACCTGGAATAAAGAAACCGAATTAGTTTATTGGTTGTTTAGATATTAAACATTTTGTGGGATGGACAATTATTCAATGTTGTTACACGATTTGGACAATTTTGTTGTTACACGATTTGGACAATTTTGCTGTTACACGATTTGGACAATTTTGCTATTACATGATTTGGACAATTTTGCTGCTACACGATTTGGACAATTTTGCAGTAATACCCGGTATATATTATATATTAACCAAAATAATATAGTGTATATAGATGACACGAATATGCAGCGTATTATTAGTAATATCGGTGTACATAGTACTAGTATCACTCGTAGTAACATGGCATAATTACACATTTCGGTACTATTATATTTAATCACATCTATCTATCTATCTATCTATCTATCTATCTATCTATCTATCTAAATCCATGTATGTATGTATCTCTCTATTCGAGAGATGGGAAGACGTCGCCAACAATCACACACGCTGGAGACGCGATTTACACCGAGGGAAGGAGAAACAAATGCTTGCCGCTGGGGAGAAACTTGATCGACAGAAAGAAAATAGCAAGGTGACATCGGGGTAGAGCTTCTTCTCATGCATTCATTGTAATCGAGAGTGTCACTCCCGTGTGGGCCTGTACAGCCATAATAGATGCTGCACCGCCGAGACAGCAGATGAGACATAAGCCTTTGGCGAAGATCCAACGTCTCTCGAGACGGACGGAAGCTACACACACGGAATGTATCTCTCTATCTTAACGCAAGTCGTGCAAAGAAAAAAAAAACTCAACATAGATATCAACACTTGGAAACACCTTGGGAGGGAGGAATGCTGAAATCTGATTGCGTTTGATGTTGAAAAATTTGAGAACAACAGAGTTACTTCTACTGAGCTGAAATGAGCTGGTAGACATATAGACAATGTCAATCTTCTCCTCGAGTGGAGCAAAAATGGTGTCCTTCTCGAGTGATGAATGTAGCCGTGTCTGCCTTTTGAGGTTAAGCCTCCCTCAGTCACAAACGTGGACACGGAAACAATATGTTACTCGGAACCATAACACTAAACATCCAGATAATCAATTTGCTACCGGATTGGAAGACTCGCCTGCACTCAATGAGGAATGTCTGGCAGGTTATTTGCGGATTTTATGGCCCATTTAAGACGTCATCAACAACATGGAAATCATACCTGAAATATTCAGTAAATAATTGTGAGTTTGGGGTGTCGTCTTACTCGGTCATTATTCATATATTTGTTTGTATGTGTGTATTCAGAAACTGATATGGCAGTCCAAACTCGAAGATCCAAGAGGTAGAAAGAAATGTCGAAATCACGAATCGCAGGTCCAATGTCAAAAATCCCAATACACGTAAACGGTCAGAAATCCAACACACAAGGCCAACGCTCACAGTCACATGCAAGCCGACAGACTGGAGAAAAAGAAAACTGCTTTTCAGTTCGAGAAAACCAACCGATTTTATCGACAGAAACATTTTTTTTTCATTGGTCGACAGTAGGAGAGGACAAACAATATTATCATATGCGAGATGCATTTATGGCAACAGCTTCCACAGGCTTATTTTTATTTTGGTTATTCGGCATATCGTACAGAACACACGTACCCTTTTTCGCGGTAAGTGAATTTCTCTTTCGTCACAGTATGTATGAACAAGCAAGCTATGTCATTCACCATGATGACTGTAGTATACCCAAACAAATGGTTTACAGCAAACTGCTCCACGGTACTCGATCCCAGCATAAACAAAATAAGTGCTTCAAGGACTGTTCAAAAAAGTCCCTTGCAACCTGCCATATAGATGATCCTGAGTATGAAACTCCTGCATGTGATTAGAATAAGTGGAGGCGTATAATTCATAAAGGCACTAAGACCTTCCAAGTATATTCAATAAGATGGGCAAATGTCAAGCGTGCAGTTATGAACATTATTGACCCATCAATCCACCAATTTGTGTGATGAATGTAGGAGAGCATGTCTCTCCAAATGCAGACCTCGTTATTTATTAAAAGCTCAGAATAAACAATAAACAAACAATGATGTACTTTCCCCTATGGTACCTCGACTTTATGAATTTTAGCACAGTACTAGATTAGCGGCAAGATCTCATCATCTTACAGCTGAAATAGCTATAAGTAGCCGTAAGTTCTATGCTAAGAGTTCCTTCTGTCACACTTCTCGCCTGTGGAAGTCTCTTCCAGCTTCTTGCTTCCCAGTCAAATTTGATCTTCAAAAATTTTAATGCAATCTCAATCGTTATCTTCTATTTTCTTAATTCTTGTTCTTTTATTGATTCCTCTGCTTAATAGTATATTTTTTTCACAGTCTCTAACATTCAGTAACCCCCTTGTATCTTAGTGGCTTTATTGCCTTGTTTAGGGTGATATTAAAAATAGAAAATGAACAAAAATTGGACGTCTGACAAAACTGGACGTCTGACATATATTTGTCTCCTCGTTTAAATTGTTGACAATCAAAATTTGCCCTGACTCTCTTGGATTTGTTCTAAGAGTTCTTCATAGTTCACCATTCCTTTATTCCGCCGACCGTTATGTTCAAATTACTTTTTCTATTTGTCTACATATTATTTATTCTGAACTTTAAATAAATGTTCTAGAGTTTGAATGAAATTGTTCGGAAAGTAATATCACATATCAAGACATCGTCGTCGGCACCCACATGCATTCGAACATCGGGATCGCCCTTCTCTCTTCTAATTTCCTTTCTTTCCTCTGACAGAGATGGCTGTGAAGGTCCAGTCTACTCCTGAAGAATCGTGAGCAGGTGTCACAGAGAAAGTGTGGGTCGTAGACGCGGCTGGGCGAGTCGGGCCCTCCTGACAGCACGTCGCAGATCTTCTTCATGTTGACAGTTGGATTTGAAAGTTTTGATCCTACGCCAGTTAGGCCGATTTGCAGCAACGATTTTCAAGGTCTCAGAATCAATGTTGGCCTGTGCCAGGGATGTTTTTAGCTGATCCTTGGAGTGTCATTTTGAGTCTCTTGAATTCTCCAAACAGGATGATAGGTGGGAGTCGAGTGGGGCGCATTCTGGACACGTGACCCGCCCGTGTTGAAGGATGGCAGCTTTGATGCCTCGGAAAGATATCCGAGAGAAGACCTCGTTGTTGATGACGCGGTCCTCCCAACTTATGCGAAAGATTCTTCGGACCTTCGTTTGCTGGAACCGTTCTAAACGTTTGGTGACCAGGCGATACAATGTCCACGCCTCGCGTATAGAAGGATTTAGAGGCGCACGGCCTGGACCATGATTTTGGTTTTTATGGTGATTACTGAAGACCCGATGTGATAACGTTCCGTACGCAGTATGAGTTGCTTTGATCTTGTTGTCAAGGTCCCTTGCAGGTAACATTATTCGAGATGATGCTGCTTAAGTAGGGAAATTAATCGACGACTTCAACCGGCTGTCCTTCAATGTTGATGCTGACGTCCGGGGACCGGCTGGATAAGAATCTTTGTCTTTTTTACAGTGACCTGCACCCCGAAGCGTTTGTAGGCCTCGTTATACAGGTTTGTCGATTTCTGGAGGTTAATGACCGTCTGGTCCGCAGTTACATTGTCGTTAGAATACTACAATTCTCGCACGTGGGTGGTGGTACACTTTGTGTGAGAACGAATACGGGCGAGTTTGAAAAGTCAATGCCAGCGAGGCACAAGAAGAAGAGTGTCGACAAGACACTCTTCTCCCTTTTCGTTTTCTTATATCAAGACAGACTTCAGAATGAAAATGTAAAACCATATTTTATAAAATGAGCCCAAGATGAGATAAATCTTCAGGATGGGACATCCCCGAATTTACATCACTTGTTACAAGTGACCCATTTTTCAGAATGAAACTGTAAGATGATATTTAATAAAATCCACCCAGAAAGTGAACAAAGGGATATCCCGGCAATTTCCATCTTTTGTGATCATAAAATGAGCCAGAAACGCTGATCAACATCTTTGGTTAAAGGAATTTTTGTAATTTTACAGAATGAATATGTAACATCCACACTCAAAAATTTAAAAAAAAAACTTTTCAAACCAATCAAGGCGGAAGTGCCACTAGCAGGCAAGGGGTTACAGAGAGTGGGAGTAAGAGTAAAGAGTTGTGATAGAGGAAAGGATGAAGAGAAGGACGGGGGAATAGATCAAGGAGATGTCGATTTAAATTGCATTTGAATAACTGGAGATTATAGCTAACAGTGAAGTAAGTAAGAGGAAGGGAGTTCCACAGACGGGAAGTGCGAGACATGAAGTATTGGAGTAGAAGAGACGTCTACATTTAATCGTTTCGACAGTGAAAGGGTGGGACTGAGATGCCAACCTAGTAACACGCTTAAATTCATGGAGTTTGGGAACTAGAGAAAATAGCTTGTCGGAGCAGTTACCGTGAAAGTATTTGTAGAAAAGACAGAGGGAGGCGACGGCACGTCTGTGAGAGAGCGCTTGTAAACGAGATGCCAGATCAGGGCCAATCACATTGCGTATCCGTCTCTGAATTTTGACATTGACCCTAAGACGAACATCGGGGGCCCCAGACCATATATGACAGCAGTAATCCCTGAAAGGGCAAATGGTTGATTTATAGATTTGAAGGATGAACTTGGGTGAGAAAAACTTTCTGGCTTTTTTCTGGTTCACAGAGAACCAACTTTCCTTGCGATAGATGAAGCTATTGATTCAATGTATTTCTTCCATCTCAGGTCATCGGACAGTGTGAGACCATGCAGTCGCAAAGAGCTGCTCACGTGGAGTCGAGCATCAGACATTCTAATGGGAGGCAGGGAGGATTCTCTGTGGTTGGTAATCGACAACAGTTTTGTTTTAGAGGCACTAAATACCTAGGATGTACATCCTCCTAATTCTGCTATCTTAAAATCTTTAAGATTTCTATTTTGTTTATCATTTCATCTAAGCAAGGAGATAAAGCTACCAAGGCGAAAGGTGTTACTAAGTGTGAAAGAATTTGAGAAAGAAAGAAAGAAAGAAAGAAAGAAAGAAGAGGATTCAAGGAGATAGAAGATGACGATTGGCATTGCGTTTAATTTTTTGAAGATCGTTGTTGACAGGAAATCAAGAGCCGGAAGAGAGTTTTGAAAGCAAAAAAATGCGAAAGAAAATCTTTTTAGCATAGAACTTACGGTGACATCAAACCATTTCACTTGTAAAATCATGAAACGTTATTCCCAATCTGGTACTGCACTTACATTCGTAAAGTCGAGGTTAACAAAGAGGAAAGCTCATCGAAACAGTTACAATGAAAATATTTACAGAAATTACCGATTCTTTTTAGGATTTTTTAGAATTTCTAAATACATAACAGAAGCAAGAGACCAAATCTGACAGTAGTATTCAATGCCTGAACGAATAAAGGTGTAAGTGATTCTAGCGAGAAAAATTGACATAGAGAACCAACTTTTCTAGCAATAGATCTATCACTTAATTTAATATAATCTTTCCAATAAAAATAGAAAGCAGCGTAAGGCAAAGATGTGTCTTCTCACCGGACTTATTCAACTAATACTGTGAGGCAATTCCGAGAGAATCGGAAATCCTAGCGGGATTCATCTGTTGCGGACACAATCTTAACAAACGCAGATGACACTTTGCTGATAGCAGACACGGAAAAGAAATTACCAAAACCCCTACATAAGGTAGCGAAGGAGAGCGAGAAGAAGGAGCTAAGCACAAACTACAATAAGACAGATGCAGGGTCAACAGTAAAAAGATGAACCCGAAATCCGATTTACAGGTCGCGGACATTAAAATCAAGCAGGTGCAGAAATTCAAATGTCTGTGAAGTGTTTTTACAGAGGACGAAGACGTATTGGGATGGCCAAAGACGCATTCCAAAAGCTAGGCAGAGGATTACAAGACAGGAGGATTTCTTTATTAACAAAGAAAAGAGTACTGAACTGCTACGTGATATCTGTCCTCCTTTACGGCAGCGAATGTTGGACGGTCTTCTCAAAGATGAAGAGAGAATTCGAAGCAACGGAGGTATGGTTCTACAGAAGGATGCTAAAGATATCATGGACCGAGCTTGTGAGCAACGATGAGGTTTTGGAGAGGATGCAAACAAGGAGGAAGCTTATACTTAACATCAGGAAGAGGTAGATGAAATTTCTGGGACATGTAATGAGAAATGAGGACTTGGAGAATCTGATACTCACAGGGCGAATAGAAGGAAAGAGAGACAAGGGAAAGCAACGCGTGAGATACCTAGCGGGCTTTAGCAAGTGGATGACAAAACAGGGTCTGGGAGAGGTAGCAAAGGGACTAAACTTATTGAGAACTACAAGGGATAGGGGGAAGTGGAGGGCCATGATCGCCCACGTCCTGGAAGGACACGGCACATAAAAGAAGAAGAATTTATGTCAGCGGAAAAGGCGCAATATATCACTCTACTGGAAGCATAAGAGATTAAAGAGAGCATTTTCGTTTTGGATTTACTGACCCCCCCCCAAGTAAAGTGTCTGACATTTTATAAATACACTGCAGTGGCAAAATTACTTAAATATTGATTCTGTCTATATTTCTGAGATGAGGTATTATGTACATTATTTACATTATTCGGACTATTGTCCTCATATTTGTCGCCATATTTATTACAACGTTTCGGCCGTTCAGTATCTGTCTATATTTCTGAGATGAGGTATTATGTACATTATTTACATTATTCGGACTATTGTCCTCATATTTGTCGCCATATTTATTACAACGTTTCGGCCGTTCAGTATCTGTCTATATTTCTGAGATGAGGTATTATGTACATTATTTACATTATTCGGACTATTGTCCTCATATTTGTCGCCATATTTATTACAACGTTTCGGCCGTTCAGTATCTGTCTATATTTCTGAGATGAGGTATTATGTACATTATTTACATTATTCGGACTATTGTCCTCATATTTGTCGCCATATTTATTACAACGTTTCGGCCGTTCAGTATCTGTCTATATTTCTGAGATGAGGTATTATGTACATTATTTACATTATTCGGACTATTGTCCTCATATTTGTCGCCATATTTATTACAACGTTTCGGCCGTTCAGTATCTGTCTATATTTCTGAGATGAGGTATTATGTACATTATTTACATTATTCGGACTATTGTCCTCATATTTGTCGCCATATTTATTACAACGTTTCGGCCGTTCAGTATCTGTCTATATTTCTGAGATGAGGTATTATGTACATTATTTACATTATTCGGACTATTGTCCTCATATTTGTCGCCATATTTATTCCAACGTTTCGGACCTTCAGTACCTGTCTATATTTCTGAGATGAGGTATTATGTACATTATTTACATTATTCGGACTATTGTCCTCATATTTGTCGCCATATTTATTACAACGTTTCGGCCCTTCAGTATCTGTCTATATTTCTGAGATGAGGTATTATGTACATTATTTACATTATTCGGACTATTGTCCTCATCTTTGTCGCCATATTTATTACAACGTTTCGGCCCTTCAGTATCTGTCTATATTTCTGAGATGAGGTATTATGTACATTATTTACATTATTCGGACTATTGTCCTCATCTTTGTCGCCATATTTATCACAGCGTTTCAGCCGTTGTACGCTCCGGCCTTCTTCAGGTGTTTGGAATGTCGAACTGAATCCTTTAAAATTCATACCCGGATGTCCTCAAGGACACATGGCACAGTGGATAAAGGCGTTGGTTAGATCCAGTGGCAAGACCCAAAGAGTATGAGTTCAATACCCGGTTAAGGCAGTGGAGAACATTCAGAAGAAAAATTAACAGGAGATAACTGATAACTGACATCCATTAAACATGGCAAGTAGAGCTAGAACAGTCTACCCGAGTTCCTCTCTGCCCGAAGGCAGAGAGTTCGACAGCAGCCAAGATCTGAGAAGCTTTGTTTTGGAGGCGTTCAAATTAACAAGCCATTTCTTGCCCCAGTTAACGACAGATTGTAGGTCACTTTTGAATCATTGAATTATTGTCAAAAACTTTCAAAGTAATAGGGATCAATTCAACAGTATTTCGTGATTCTTTCGACTGAAAACACAGATGTTTTTGAGCAATGAATAAAAGAATTTCTGTTAATGATCATGTTAATTGAAGCAATGACAGTTACCATATTGAAAATATCAAATACTGTAAGCTTGGATCTGCGGGTGGTGTAATGAATAACAGATCGCGATTTGAAATAAGAGAGCCAAGTTCCAATTCCAGCCGGGTTCGTTATATTCACTTATCGCAGATACCCTTCGGAAATGAATGTCTGTAAGCTTGGATCTGCGGGTGGTGTAATGAATAACAGATCGCGATTTGAAATAAAGAGCCAAGTTCAATTCCAGCCGGGTTCGTTATATTCACTTATCGCAGATACCCTTCGGAAATGAATGTCTGTAAGCTTGGATCTGCGGGTGGTGTAATGAATAACAGATCGCGATTTGAAATAAGAGAGCCAAGTTCCAATTCCAGCCGGGTTCGTTATATTCACTTATCGCAGATACCCTTCGGAAAGGTATGAATTCACCTCTTCTCACCCCCTCAGCTAGGAGTTAATTAGTAGGAATTATATTAGTAAATCTTTATTACCTCCTAAAAGTTCTTAGAATCTAAAAATATTTTCTGGCTTTAAATAACTTGCGAAGAGTTGATGAAACACAAATCAACCACTCAATCCATCAGACATGAAATTATGGAGAGTCTTGTTCGCCCCCGTCTCGAAGTGACACAACATGAAAGAAAAAGATACGGAAGATGATGATTATGAAATAAATTCAATGTATTTTGATTTTTTGTATTGTTTTTTTTTTCTTATTCCAAGTCGGTCCGTACCCACCATCCGCAGGAGGTCTCCAAGGTGTACAGCCTCTCGTCGATGGCATCAATGTAGGTAAGGGAAGTCGGCAAAATGGATCCGTACCTTCCGAAGAAGGATTGGCTCCGAGGACCGGGTCGGTCGGGCCGTGCCCGTGCGAAGCGAGGAACCGGTACGGGGCTGTAGCGTTCGCTCCGTTCGCGCTTTGCGGCGCGGGTTCAAAGTGTCGTAGCGGTCCGTCGGCGTTACAGTCGTGCGCGTTCGGGTTTTGTGGAATAAAGAATTATCAAGGAAAACCATCAATGCGTTTCATTTCTTTCAGCTTCAAACATATATGTTTATGACTCTACTCAAATTCCGATAGTCTTTCTCAAACATTTCCAACCTTATCGCTTTTCGTATTTATTATAGCTAAAATAGTAGGGTAAAATAGAAGGGTAGCGTCTCTGGTTTTGGTAGGACAACTAGTCTAGGAGTTGGATAACTCTGAATCCTTCTGCTCAGTTGTATCGGTTACCGTGGCAGAGTGAGGCTTGTTACTCTTCGCGGATGGTGTAATGGATTGGAGCTTGGAGTAAGAAGCCGGAGAGTGGAGTTCGAATTCCAGTCGGGTTCGTTACGTAAATATCTTTGTGAAAGGGATGAATACACCACCTTAGCTCAAAATCTAGAAATTGTATCTGGTAATATCTTTGTTATTCTCAAAATATTGTTAACGCAATATTCATTTGCAAAAAATAACAATTCTGAAAATACATAATATGTTTCAGCTTTAAATAACCCGCAACGGGTTGACAAGCCGTAAAAACAAATCAGTCAATCGTTACTTTTCTTGTCCACATGGGGAAATCTGTTTCCTGCAGTGGCCAGAAAAATAATGAAAGAAGATTAGTATCAATAAATATTTGTTGCATTCATAGATGCAGATGAAGAGGAAGCTGAGCATAGTCTGGCACAAGGATGCAATTTTGGGGAACTCTCATGCCACTGTCTGCAAGTTGTACTCTATTTTTTAAAAGAAATCTATCTATCTATCTATCTATCTCTATATATATATATATATATATATATATATATATATATATATATATATATATATATATATATATTTATACGTGTAAATCTTAGTCTTTCTATAAATGTAAAATAAAATTAGCTTAGTCTGGTATTGGGACAAAATAGTAGAGCGCCCACTCAAATTCGCTTGCTTACCATCGTTTTATTACCCCGACTTCACATCACGAGTCTCCTAAGCTATTATAGTTGTAAGGGTATCATATGTAATAGAGCGATAACCGCAGTAGTGTGCCTTATCTATCTATCTATCTATCTATCTATCTATCTATCTATCTATCTATCTATCTCTGTCTATTCAGAACTATTGAGGTAGAAAGTTCCTTTTATTCATTTTTATTTCTCTCCAAGCAAGCTTCATCTTTTCAAATTCTCAGCTAAGAAATAATTTTCTATCTATCTATCTATCTATCTATCTATCTATCTATCTATCTATCTATCTATCCTTGTCACTTCATATGTCCATCTGTCTGCATCTAATGATCTATCTAGCTAGCTATCCTAGTATGTTCCTATTTATCTATCTATCTATCTATCTATCTATCTATCTATCTATCTATCTATCTATCTCAATGACTCTCTCTCTCCACACACATATATATATATATATATATATATATATATATATATATATATAATGTATGTTCTTTTCGATTTTCTATATAATCACCGCTCCCCTCTCTCTCTATCTGATATCCTTGTCTATCTCCTGTAAGTACCAATCTAATGTTGCTTTCACCTTTCCGTTTTCTAATCTCGAAACGCAGAATATCGATTGAAGCCTATCTCTGTCAAATGCTTCAGCTATCTCTGCCGCCGCCACCGCTGCTGCTAGCGGTGGTCGGGGAAAAAGAATCGGACCTTCGGTGACTGGATGCAAACGTGTCACGTGACTAGAACCACGACACGTGACAGAGTGATCAGGTGATGTGACTCAAGTCACGTGGCCCAGCAAAATTCGACACACCATTTGGAATTGCTATTTAGAAAATACTTCCTTTCACCGTCTTGCAACCTGTCAATTCATCTGCTTGTCTATTCTCTTTTTTGAATATTCGTTTATTCGTTTATTCCCATCTTAGTCTGTTGCGATATAGTACTCTACGTCTTTCTTATTTTCTCTCTTCCCTTTTACATATATTTTTAATTTTCATCATCGTCTGCTAAAATGTACTTCTCTCTGTCTCAGTGATTTCTTTTTTTCGTTAATTTATTAATCATTTTCATCATCGTCTGCTTCAGTGAAGTTCATTGCGTTTCCTTAATTTTATTTGTTCTTTTTATCATTTGGGTACTTCTTTAATTTTCATCATCGTCTGCTTCAATGAATTCTTCTACTTCTTGATTTCCTTTTTTTTTCTTTCATTTAGTTATTCCGAATTTTCATTATCGTCTGCATCAAAGAAGTGCTCACCAATGTTCTCTCTTAATGTTTCATCTAGTTACACATAATTTTCATTATCGTCTTCTTCATTGAATTTCTCAGTCTTTTTTTTTTTAGTTCTCTTTTTTTCTTGCAAATACTTGTTCTTAATTTTCACCATCATCTGCTATAAAGAATTTCTCTCTGTCTTCCTGGTTTTCATTTTTTCTTTATTTAATTTTCATCACCGTCATAATCTTTTATTTTTGTTCAGAATACGTTTTTTTTTCCCTTTGCTTCTTTGGATTTTTTTTGTTTTTCTTTCTTGTTTTCATTCTTTCATTTCTCGTCTTTACAAATGTCCCCAGTAAATCTTTCATTCTTTCTCCTTAAATTATTTCTCCAGCGTTCTCTTTTCCCAATTTCCCTTTTATTTCCATCCATTTTTCATTCCTTTTATCTACTTTCTACTTAATCTACCTTTTTATTTACTTTTATTCCTTTTATCTACTTTCCTTTATTTCATTTTTCCTTTAATTTCTTTGTTTTTATTTTCGTTTGTCCGTATAGATTTATTCTCTTTTTTTGTTTTCCATCTTTTCTTTTTCTTTGTAATAAATGTACCCTCTCTCTCTCGCACTCTCTCTCTCTCGCACTATCTCCCGCACTCTCTCTCTTTCTTTCTCTCTCTCTTCGCTTCCTGTGTAATATGTTTAATGAGTTTGATTCTTTTCTTTTACTCTTTTTATTTTCCCTTACTTATTTTATTCCTTTTTTTTTCAATATTTCCTTCAGTTATTCAAAAATCAGTTGATTTCTCATCAATCTTTCTTTCTTTCTTTCTTTCTCGACCAGACGTTTCTATTTATTTACTCAGCCAATCAAATAGCGCTTGGCGTTGAAATAGAAAAATCCGGGCATTTTCTGTTTTATCATGATTATTGCTTGCATCAGAGTTGCCAAAGTAGCCTTGGAAGAGAAAACAGGATTCTTTGTTACAATAAGTGATCCTGAGCTTATCTCGCAAGACAGTGGAAATGAATTTAATTCATACAGGGTGTTCGACAAATCCGACCACGTATCACGTTCTTCTACTACTACTACTAATAATAATATTCAATGGTATGTCTTTTCGAACGATGTCATAAACAACACCTGAATGATTTCCCGAATTGTAATGATGTCACTATATTGTGGAATTTCCAAAATTGGTGAAAATAGACAGACAGTAATAAAAGATTTATTAAACGAACCTACCAACTAATTGATTTGTTTTGCCCATAGGTTTCCAATGTTTCTAAAAAAGAATTTCAAAAACTGTCAAGTTGTAAGGAACTGGAAATCGAAATAAGAAAAACGTGGAAACTTAAAATTATCCCTGTTGTGAGATGAGCATTGGGTATGATAAAGAAGGGTACCGACACACCAATCATCTCAGAGCTACAAAAGTTTACTTTGTGCGAAACTGCATATATCATCCACAAAACCCTCTTCATCTAAATCCCAAATGTGCCTAGATAACTCTCCTACAGTGACACTTTTACTCATAGACCTCGGAGGGGACTTGGTAATTATGAACTTAAAATCAAGATGATACCACACAAAATAATAATAATAATAATAATAATAATAATAATAATAATAATAAGAAGAAGAAGAAGAAGAAGTATGGGAAAATATAACCAAGAATAATGTTAGGTAAGCTATAACTAAATCTCCAAAATGGAAATCCCCAGGAAATGACAAGGTACTAAACTTTTGGTTCTGTCTTCTGTCATCAATCCATAAAAATTCTTGCACAAACTTTATCAATGCTAATTAATAACCCCAATGAAATTCCAGAATGGATCACTGAAGGTATTACATATCTCCAGCCAAAAACGTATGAAACAGATGATCCAAAAAATTATAGGCCAATACCATGTCTGTCTGCTACATATAAATTGATTACGTCTGTCCAGACGAAGTGTACTTACTCCTTTCTCGATGATGCAACATTCTTTCTCTGGAACAGAAGGGATGTCGAAGAAGCTTATATGGTTGCAAAGATCAACTACTAATAAATAAATAAAATATTACTGGAAAATTGCAGGAAAAAAAGGTAGAAGTCTTGGATAGATTTCCGTAATTCCTTTGATAGGGTACCACGCTCCTGGATCCTTAAGACTTTAGAAATATACAAAGTCTTCTCGGTGATAATAAATTTCCTTAAATAGAGCATGGGTCTGTGAAAAACCACATTATACCTAAATTGCACCAAAGTTATCATCATTTCCAACTGTTTGAATACCCGACGAGGGATCTTTCAGGGAAACACCTTGTCACCCACTTCTGTTCTATTAGTCCTCCTTTCGCATGAATTAAATAGTAATAACTATAGATACAAAGAAGTTGGCATCTACGCGGACGACACTACAATTTACTCCTGCCTCAAAAACAAATCTAGTGTCGCTGACAAAACTAACCTGGCCGTGCGTCTTGAAATGGACCTCCAATCGGTTGTTAATTGGGGCAAGAATTGGCTGGTCAACTTTAACGCCTCAAAAACTAAACTACTCTCTATTAATCACCATAGAGATCCTTCCCTGCCCCCCATTAGAATGTCTGATGGTCAACTTCTTGAGAGCAACTCCCTGCGTCTGCTCGGTCTCACGTTGACTGCTGGCCTGAGATGGAACAAATACATTGAGTCAATTGCTTCTTCCACCGCGAGGAAAGTTGGCTCTCTGTGCCGCGACAGGAAATTTTTCTCCCCGGAATCGATACTTCAAATATGCAAATCAACCATTCGCCCTTGCATGGAGTATTGCTGCCATATATGGTCTGGTGCACCTTCTGTTTACCTCGGAGTTCTTGACAAGATCCAGAGACGGATATGTAATATAATTGGCCCTGATCTGGCGTATCGTCTACAATCACTCTCTCACAGACGCGCCGTCGCCTCTCTCTGTCTTTTCTACAAATACTTTCATGGTAATTGCTCCGATGAGCTGCTTTCACTGGTTCCTAGACTCCATGAATTCATGTAAAATGTTTCAGTAATGACATCGATATAGATTTCGGATTGGATAAATGTGCAAAGGTAACATTCAGGCAAAGAAGAATTACAGAAATACACTCAATAGATCTAGATTTTGTCACAAAGATTAGGGAACTAGAACAAGAAGAAGCTTGGCAGTCAGTGAAGGAGATGAGATACAGCATATTCAAATGAAGGAGAACGTACGAAACTCATACTGTACATGGACAGTCATAAACACGTTGGCTGTCTCTGTGACGCAATACTGTTTCAACATCCTTAATTGTATCATAGACGACATTAATCGAATGGATGTCAAAACGAGAAAGTTTCTCGCCACCGCATGCGTCATCCTAAGACTGATATTGATCTTCTGTATGTGCCCAGACCAGAGGAGGCAGAGGATTAGTTCAACTAGAACTGTTTTGCAAAGCTACTACAATTGGTCTTCAAAGATTCTTGGAAACTACAGAAGATTAGATGACGATCTGTGTCAAAGAACATGAAAGAAATAAAAAAAATCTTTATTCAGCAATAAAGGAAACCAACAAATTCAAAAGTGAATTTCAAATGGGTGAAGAATTGCAAATAAACCATAATAAACCTATTGCAGCGGCAAAGAAGCTAAAAAAGAAAACTTATGCAATGTACCGAATGCAGAAACGATGGCAAGATCGTCAATACTCTACCCGTACCAAACAGGTTGATGTAGACATATCCCATACCCATCAACGATTACGTCGTGCCATGTTAAAAGCTGCAAGCAAATGTTTTATTCTTGCTTGCACACGACCAATGCTTGCAAAATAGAAATTCGCAAGCACACATACTGAAAAATTGTGTGAACTCGAAATGCAGATGCTGTGATAAATATCCAGAAACAGTTGACCATCTTGTATCAAGTTGCTCAGTGTTAACACTCAGCACGATAGAGTGATCTAATATCTGCATTGGAAAATATGCCACATTTGTGGGAAGGAAACTGCAAGAAACTGGTATGAACACCACCTAGACTCGGTCACAGAGATAGGACCTGTATGAAATTTATGGGACATTACAATAGACACAGAGAGAACAATCAAAGCTAATTGTTCAGACATCCTGATCAAAGATCAGAATAACAGAATGTGCTTTCTTATTGACATGGCAGTTTCTGCAGATTGTAATGGATCTTTGAAGATCTTCAAACAAACTATCAAAATACAAAGATCTTGAAATGGAAATCTAAAAAAACGTGGCACATGAAGACATCAATAATTCCAGTTGTAGTTGGATCCCTTGGATTGATTGGAAAAGGTTCCGACAGACTAGTTGAAGGGATTCCTGGTAGTTCCTGTCTTAAAGAAAAACAAAACATTGTACTCACAAATATAGATGACACATTACGAAAAGCTTTATCTATGTAAAATGTGTTATCTCTTCTTTTTTTTTTTTGGTCTTGAAACAATTTCTGACGTTTGGTCTCTGGTTGAGACCAAGAAGGAAATGTGTATACAACAGAAATGAAAAGAAATAATAATAATAATAATAACAATAGTATGATATGATAAGGCTGGGCAGTATATTTTCTGTAACAAATGTTATTATTACAGTGCGCCACATGCCAAAAAAACGGTATGAATAATATCCTGAAACATAGGGTCACCATTACTTGGAACTTTAGTGAGTGGCATATAAAAGTTTATAGATCAGATATCGTAATTAAAGAGTATAATCCCCCCTCAAAGAAACCCTATAATATATAATTGTACTTAGATCAGCTAAAAATACATCTGTTAAATTTTTGTTCATTAATGCTCACCCTATACAAGGCCCAAGAGCCACTCGAGATAGAGTGTTATAGAGAAAGCAGCACTTTTTATGGGGATATGCGGATAAGATCTAGTTTAACCATAGACTTGAACAGGTTAAGATTGTGGTGATTGGGGAATCATCCTCTTGGGAGATGGTTTCACAGAGCAGCAATTCATAACAAGATGCTGCTCGAGTGGAACTTACATCTCACTAATGGAATACGAAGGGAATGCAGGTGGTTCACTACAATGTGCGTGGCGAGAATATAATAAAATAAATAAGAATACTGAAATTGAAATTTTTAAAATGCGTTAACTTTAAGCTACTGTCATACGTATAATAACTGGAGTACTGGGCGCGATAAACAAATAAGCCACAGAAATAATTTCCTGTTTAAAAGAAATTGAATGTGGATTAGAATTAATTTTTGACAACGTATCTTTGCTGGTTTTTAACAGATGACGCAAAGCGTGACACTGAAATCCGAAACAACACAGCAAAAGATTTCTTCTGAAGATCCTACGCTATTTCTGATCGTCATCAATGATTTTCTTGATGTCATCCGTTTCCAAGTAGGCATTTATGCAGATGGCACTACCATTTACTCCTGTTTCAATAGCAAATCCATGAACGATGACAAAGTAAAAGGGCCTCCAATCAGTGGTTAACTGGGGCAGGAAACGGCTTGTAAATTTTAATGTTTCCAAAACAAAACTGCTCTCATTTAACCACCAAAGAGAAACTTTCCTGCCTGATATTATCATGGCTGCTGCTAGACTCCTGGAGAGAGCCATGTTGGCGCAGTGTGTTGCTTTCAACTGACTTGAAACGGAACGACTCCATCGAATCAATAGCTGCATCTACTGCAAGTTGGGTCACTGTGTGAGTCAGAAGGTTTTTCTTGTCAGAATCCATCTTGCATATTTACAAATCTAACATTCGTTCGTGCATTGAATACTGTCACCATATCTGGCTTGGTGTTCCTGCTATTCATCTTGGGATTCTTGACAAAATCCAAAGAAGTAATCAATCCTGACTTGACAT